CGCTTTTATCTGGTTGGAGAGATGCATTAAAGTTCTAAAACTCATGTTGTTGAAGAATATTTTATTGTGATTCAAGTTTGTCAAAACTCTTGTAATAGTTAGCTTATTTATGACTTTTTATAGTATTATTCCTTTTGTAATAAATAGGCTAGAAAAGGAATGAGTCCAAATATGTCTGGCCCATATTCCTAGGCGCTAGGCTTTTACCTAAACCTACATGCGGCTATATATATGCGCATAAGGTTTAGATTATTAAAAAAACATTGGTATAAGATCATATATCAATCTGTAGCTTTCTCAACATCATTAATAGAGAGTTTTCACTGTTCAATTTCTTCAATATCATGGTTTGAATCTCTTCTATTATCATGTGATGAACCATTCTGCTGAACGCTCATATTGGGACCAACACATGTAGAGCTAAATTTACAAAATATTACATGATAGGTACATTTTTTCATCAAAATTCTTTTGTAACCTCTAATTTTGTATACTTGAATATAAAAAAGAAGTTGAATCTGTGGTCATTCAATTCCTAATTTTGAGAGTATGGCTGATTTTAGCTCTTGTATTGCTAAATGTGAGATTTTAATATTCTAATTAATGGTGATTATCTAGCTTCCATTGTCGACAATTGTACAGAACAATCTTTTCTTAATCAATTATTATTATCTTTGGACAACGATTTTGATTATCACATTCGCATGAAATTTGGGAGTATAAATTTCTCATTGAACGAAAGGTAATTTTTTTCATATTGGTGCAAATACAACATTATTCGGTCATATTAGAAAAAATGATTTAAACAATTTATTTGTCCAATAATCAATAAATAAATGAATCAGGGTGGGGTGCCTTATTGCTTGCTCAATACGTAATACAGTAAAGAACCAATTTACGGAGTACTAACAACGAAGTAGAAAACCCTTGAGTGCGGCACATGACATAATTGTCCCATTCATGTGAAAATTGGGTGCGCATAGCACCTTTTAGGGTGCGCGGAGATGGACCGTTGGAGTTTTGAAAGTTAAAACGCTAAGATGGATACATAAATTAAAGCTAAATTTTGTTCTAAAAAGTTAGTTGTTCAGCAAACACTATTAGCACAACATCTCGTATTTTGATCAACTTCTTCAACAGAGGGGATTTCGTTGTATTTGTCTATTTAATTTGACACCACTCTATTGTATGGTTTTTCAATTTATGTATACTATGGATATTTTTTGAAATAATTTCCAATGTATGATTTGCGACTTTTAATATGAAATGTCCATAGTAACTTTGACTCACAGCAAATAGTTTTATAATTAATGTTACAATTAAGTGAAGTGTTTTTGGTAATAAGGTGACACCTTTTCTAATCACAACTTTCTTTTTCAATTTTTGTAGTCATGCAATTATCTTGGTTTTTAATTACCCAAAATAGGAGTAAATGAGGTTTAGAATTCCAAAACAGGACTCTTATGTTTTTCTTCCCGAAATATGAGTTGTTACTGTCATGTATGAAAAATACTGTCATAATTGAAAAATATTGTCATTAATTATAATTAATACTATCATGTTAGATGCACTGTACTGCAACTATTTGACAGTCACGTCAATAAGATGACAGTAAATACTGTCATGTTAGTCTTATTTCGGGAATAAAAACATAGTAGTCCTATTTTGGAATTCCAAACCCCATTTACTCCTATTTTGGGAAATCTCTCATGTTTTTGTTACAATTTGTGGAGGAGGCTGATTTTTTATATCAAAGTTAAAGTGGTGAAGAGTATGGAGGTCGTAAAGGTTAATATTGACTCTATTTTTCCCTTTGAATTATCATGATTATTTTATCTACTTCTACTAATTAAGGTAATTGTCTTAGAGTCTAATCGTAAAGTCTGTTTAGACCTTTGTGATAAGATTTAATTTGATGTTTTTTCATTATAAAAGACTTACTTTAAATCAATGTGACATGAGAATTTACAACCAAACAATTAGCTATGAAACAATCATTAGTCCTTGAATCACCCCTATAATTATTTATTTCATTCATCCCGAATTAAATTGCAATTTGTTGTTTTTAAGGTTGACTCATGGTAAAGTTAAATGATGTTGATAAATAAATTGACTTTGTGCAAATCATTTTAGACAGAGAGGAGAGTATATTTCATTCTTTACAAAAAATAGTACGTTTTTCATTCATAAACATTCAAATTAACATATGTACTTATATTGCATTGTAATTTGTATGTAAATGCATGTTTGTTTTGTATGAGTTTAAAATTTCATGTTATTATTTTAGAAATACTATTAATTTAAAACTTTTTTTTAATATTCGACATTAAGATATCAGTATATAACTCTCTTATGCTAAAGCACCTATAAGCTTTTAATTTCTCTCGATCCCAAGTACTACTCAATATAATACACAACTATAAACAAAAGTAAATCTAAATAACAAATGAATTAAAAAAGTTATTATTAATTAAATTAATGCCATGAAATAAATTAATATAATATGCTAAAAATAATTAAAATTAATGAAATATTTTGATATAAATTTAATTATAATAAGGGAAAATCGCATATATGGTCCCTCAGTTATCCATGAAATTAAAATCTCAGACCTGTATATTTGAGATTGTAAATGTCACCCCTCAATTGTCCAAAATGTTGTAAATGTGGTCCTTTTGAGGGGTGAAATATACAATGTGGGCGAGACCGCGAGAATATATTTCACCACTTAAAGGACCACATTTACAACAATTTGGACAATTGATGGATGACATTTACAATCTCAGAAATACAGATCTAAGATTTTAATTTCGTGGATATATAACTGAGGGACCATATATGCGAATTTCGTGGATAACTGAGGGACCTAAAAAATTAGTTCTTGGTTTTTTCAGAACATGTTAATATTCTTCGCCAAATGTAAAATTAGATTTTTGAAATGATCAAAATGCTTTTTCTCAAATTTAAAAAAAATCAATAGATTTATGATCGATATCCGCAAAACAATACCGATAAAGTTAATTTTTGATTTTTATAATATGTGGTCGTGTTTTATATTGTTGTATGGAATTAATTAATTTTATGTTATTTTTTATTGAAAAGGAGGGGATCGGAGTTCGAAATGATGTTTTCAAGTAATTACATTGAAGTTAAAAGTTGACACAAATGAGATGGTGCTTAAAATTGATTTTTATTTGTTTGATAACATTTTACTCAAATATCTTTAGCAAACATTTAAACTTCTACTTTTGTATTGAAATCATTTCTATTTATAAACATTCATTACTATCTTCTACTTTTGTATTGAAATCATTTCTATTTATAAACATTCATTACTATCTTTTACCACTGATATAATAAACACTTCTCGTATATAAAAACAAATACCAGTACTAAAATAAGCCATTTTCAAAAATTACGAGCAACATCACATCATTTTTATTAATTGCTTTTCCACATTTATTAACTGTCATTTTTAGAAATAATTTCAATTGCTGATAAATTAGTTTCATCATAAAATTAATTTATTGAAACACATAGTATATGGTGAGTTGGTGGCCGAGTGAACGTGAAATATGAACCCAATGCAAAAGGAATCAGACTTGGATATACATTTTATGTACACACTCTTACACACTCATGTTTGTGAAGCATTTTTTTATGTCTGTCCTAGACAAAACGTATTTGTCAAAACATAGGGTACACATAAAATAGTGAGTTGGTGGCCGAGTGAACGTGAAATCTGAGTTGGTGTCAAAACGTAGGTGTACATCACAAAACGTTTTTTATGTCTGCCCCATAAAATTAATTTATTGAAACACATAGTATATGGTGAGTTGGTGGCCGAGTGAACGTGAAATCTTAACCCAATGCAAAAGGAATAAGACTTGGGGTACAAACTTTGTGTACACTCTTACACACTCATGTTTGTGAACCGTTTTTAGTCTATCTCAGACAAAACGTATTTGTGAAAATGTAGACAAAAGTGTGCCTACATTCACTTTCTTGGTCATGGCGTATTAACTTCTTAATCAAAAAATGGAACTCAATTATGTTAAATATTTGTCTCACACGATAAAGCTATAAAATAATAAAACACTAAGTAGTATATAAGATTTTGAGTTACTTATCTTATCAGGTTGAACTTTTAGGATGAAATCTCAAGTCTTAACAATATTACATTCCCCTCACACTAATAATGTCTCATCTTTCCTTTTCGTTTCGTACCGTTATAGTTATCTCATATCAAATTTGATAAATTTTATCTGACTCGAAATCATTCCCACTTTTCTTAATAACTGCTTGCATTTCGTTATAATGTTATAAATGGGACGAAAGTAATAGCATTTTCCTACTAGCCATCATTCACGTAAGTATTACTCCTCCGTCCCATATTTATCTTCGTAGTTCGGTTTACGATGCTTGACTGACGATAAAGTAACTTGATCCCTGTTCACACTTAAATTATTTTTAGTAAATTAAATTTACATATTCAGAAACTACATTAAATCCGCTACAAAGGCTGATCAGGAAAATTTAAGTTTGATAAAATTTAATATATAAAGTAAAAGTTTAAGAGTAATTTGAGTTGACCGTGTGAATAGTAACTATGAAGATAATTTTGGGACGGAGGGAGTACATAAATACGTACACACGTACGTTATACTACCCCCGTTCTTAAATAAATGCAACACTTTGACTTTTACACTATTCACATGTTCTACTTTGACTACGTTTTATTTATTAATGTAATAATATTATTTTATGAAATTTTTTTTGTTAAACTTGTCTCATTGTAAATTTTCATAATCTAATTTTTTTTTAATTTTTATACTAATACAAAATATTTATATTAATGGTCAAAGTTGTGTCTCGGCAAGTGTGAAATGTTGACCGTTGCATTTATTTAAGAACGGAGGAAGTATATACATAGCTGATAGCTAGCTGATAGCTAGCTATATATAAGCCTATATATACATCTTGCCTATATATCTTTAGTCCTTTAATTCGGCATTTAACCATAACTCGTTTCCTTTATCGAGGATGTTGGGCAAAAAAGAGAATGGTTTCAGCACATTAAATCAAGAAGAGATAATTGAGGAATTTGAGTCGTTGACAAAGGATGCTGGGAGAGTACAAGAGGAGATTTTAAAGAGGATCCTTCAAGAGAACAAAGAGACTGAATATCTGCGACAGAAATGCGGTCTTAACGGAAGAACAGACCTTGAGAGCTTCAAGGTGTGTGTTCCTCTTGTCGTCCACAAAGATTTGGAGCCTTACATTCAGCGGATTGCTGATCATGGTTCCTCTCATATCCTCACCGCCAAACCCGTTATTGCCTTGTCTTTGAGGCATGTATCGTCTTTATATCCACCCTTCAGAGTCGTTCTAAATTATTTTTACTCTATATTTTGATGTTATAAGTCAAATTTTAACAATATGAATTCATTTTTCTTATTATAATCTTTATGAGATGAATACACTAGTTCTAACGAAATTATAATTAATAACGAGTAAATTAAAGTGCAGGTCATACACACAAAAAGCTTTTTTTTTTAATAAAATTCTGTTACATATAGATCAACATGAGCTTTAATTTTGTGACTTATTAGTTTCTCCTAAGATGAATAACTAATGAATTAATTTCATTCCTTTTTATGAATGCATGGGTTCATCCCTAAATAATCTATCTTATTCTAGTATTTAAATTTATTACTAGAATGGACACATTTCTTCAAATAAGACCATCCTTATTTGGTTTTATCAAAGTATGCATGACTCAATTCACTTTTAATTGAAAGAATAGTTTATCTGTTATTCTTTTGTTAAGACTACAAACAAGTCAACACATTTGATAAAACATAATTAGTCAATTATATACTTCATCCGCTCTTTTTTAATTGCAACATTTCACTTTTCAACATTTGACCATTAATATCTTTCATTCCTTATTAGTAAAAAAATAAAAAAAATCAGATTTTGAAAATTTACAATGAGAGGAATTTAAAAATATTTTTTTAAATTTAATTTACAATACATTAATAAATAAAATATAGTCAAAGTAGAATATGTGAATATTGTAAAAAGTCCAATGTTGCAATTAAAAGAGAACGGGGGTAGTATTAATATATTTAGTTTATGCTTTACTCTAATTTAATTTATTATGTTAAGCGTAAGGCTGGTATGTTATTGTTGTGGTTTTACTCTTAGCCTAGTATGTGCAACTCATTTTATAATTATTTATAGTATGGAAATTATTAGTTGGACTTAATTAATTAATATGGACTAATTTGGATTTCTGTGTTTCTGAAGCTCTGGAACAACACAGGGGAAGCAAAAGTTTGTACCATTCACTGATGACATGTTTCATCGTGCATTGTTCATATCTAAAGCCTCCTTTGCTTATAGAAACAGGTAATTTTTTCATTTTGTAATGCATTCGGTCCGTAAAATCTTAAAATAAGTATTCATGCATTTTGGAGAACTATATATTCAGTACGTATATATAAAAAATATTCATAATCATACTCCCGTCCCTTAAAACTTTGCCAACTTTCATTTTTTGGATTTTCCACTAACTTTGTCACTTCCCTTTTAAGTAAAGAATTTGTGGTTCAGTTAATTCTCTCTACTCTGCACAAACCTCAACCACACAGTTTTTACTTTATTAATCCCCGTGCCGGTCAAATTTGACAAAGTTTTAAGGGACGGATGCAGTATATACTCAGTAACAAAAAGAAAATGCAATGACGACATTTGATGATTGTTAATTGGTACTCTCTTCGTGATAAGTCTGATTTGACCAATCTTGACTTGCACGTAAAACTATGTGACTGGAATTTGTATAAAGGTGAGAGAAATATTACAAACAACAAATTTATTATTTTAAAAGAAGGTTTAAAAATGTTTTTAGTCCAGGAGAGGAGCCAGGGCACTGGGACGAATTGGACCGGTACAAAGAATATTTTCGGAAAAAAAATTCACACGGAACTTTTTACACTAAAAATTTAGACATTTTTTAAATTTGAGCTGGGTCAGGGCCAGGGCTGACCCTCCCCTAGCTACGCCCCTGGTTTTTACTCACTGCAAATTTACATTGTATTTTTTTAGTTCATTATCAATGACAACAACCCCCGTTTAACAACGAAACAATCCCGACCCGACTAGTAGCTAGGTTCCTTCTAATTTGTTGTCATGTTATTAAGAAGTATTTAATTTATTTATTATAAAAAAATTTAATACATATTTTAAAAATGTAAATAATTAAATTTACATTGTTTTAACCCTCATATTAGGCTCAAAAAATTTATACAAAGATAAATTTAAATTTTTCTAGTAGATTTATGCAACATAACCATTAATAACTTTTTTTCTAAGTAGAGTGATTTTGGAGTTAGAAATAAATTACAGACAAAATAGTGCGTACTAATATACAGGGATGATGAGAAATTGAAAAAAAAATGCAAGGATCCTAAATATATAAATTGTGTCATAATTACAGAGATCAAAGGCATATTTAAATCTTAATATAGTGACATGATTTATGATGTTATGAGTGTGCTTATATGTGAGGAGTGATAAAAAGAAATCTGTGAGCCACATTATGTAACAATTAAGAATAAGAATTTAAGAGTGGTTTTTAGTCTTCAGAAATCATGCTCAGGGAATTAATATGGGAAAGGTGGCGAGAATAATGGCTTACACAAACCAGGTTTGGTCTGATGTGGGACTGAAAACAGTCTAATATGTTGACACCTCCTAGGTTATTAAAATTGAATAGTGGTTCTGATAACATATTAAGAATCTAAATTCTACTACGTATAAAGTGAAGGAATAACTCAAAATTTTATGCGGAGTATTTTGATTTGTATTTTCATACTAGGTATGCATATGATTGGGATAACTCAATAGTGATAAAGAATTTCTTCTACTTTCGATCCCCGACTATTATGTCAGTCACATTTTTGGAGGACTTTTAATATTTTTCATTTTTAGTTCTCGATTATTGTGAGAGAGACTTTTAGTCATCGACTTTAAAGTTTTTCACATTTAATCCCTGAATATTATCAAATTGATGTTTTTAGTCCTTCCACTGTGATTTTGACATAATAAGCGGAGGACAAAAAATGTCACTATTATAATAGTTGAAGGATAAAAAATTTCACTTTTATGAAAGTCGAAGACCTTAATATGAAAAATTTCAAAGACCAGTACAAAAAATGTCTTTCACACAATAATCGAATGTCTAAAAGTGAAGAAAAAATCAAAGCTGATTGAGTATCAAAAGTATCAGCGATATAATAGTTGGAGGACTAAAAGTGGCAAAAGCTGTAGTGATAAATTATTTTGCTTAAATATTGTAAAAAGGATATAAAATAAGTATGTATCTCCACTCTCTTTTAATTCCTTTATGCGCTTAAAAGTGGTACTGATTTAGCTATATCTGTGATTTTTTACTTCTAGAAACATTTCTATGTATCTTTACTAGTATTCCTCCCGTGCGATGCACGTGAGAATAAAATTTGCAAATTAAGTAGAAGTTTTATATTATCATTATTTGTCATATAAACATGCATATTTTGTCATATAATTTGTGGATGAAAATTTTATAGTTTACAAATAATACACTCCGTATGTGTGAATGATATCTACAATTTCGAAACTCCTTATACACAATCGTCACAATTGCATTGTTGATCATCACAATTTTTTAAACATGAGTTTTTTAGAAATTTTATTGCGGCGTATAACTATTTATTTTTATTTTAGGAAATAATGAACACTTCTAATGATAATTTGTCATTAAATATTAAACATAACACATCTATAACATCATAGTTATCATCAATAACGTCATAATATTATATACTAATGAAAAGTGTTTCTTTAATATGCGTGAATTAGATTGTGTAATTATTGTCTAAATAATTGTGTCATTTTCAATGAGAACCTAAAGTCGGGAGGATGGTAGTACTAAATTAGATATTTAAATGTCAGAGGTAAATTATATATTAACCAAACGTTGTAATTATATTTAAAAAATCAAAGTTATATTCAATATTTTCCAATCACACATTAGAAAGATTGGAATGTGTACACTATTAATCTCATTGTTAGAGATTGTACAAAAAAAAGTCACTTTTATTTTTTTGCAAGAAACGATATCATCTATTAACAATTTTGTGAAATGAATCAACATGTAATAATACACAATAATGATAACATTAGATTGTAATCAACTTAAGTGTTAGAACTAATGTTTTGAACTTCTTGAAATCTGTGTTTATATAAAAAGTATAAACATGTAGCATAAGGTCTGTTCAATTGAATTTGGACTGGTTTTATTTGTGTTTATCTATGTGTAATTTTTAAATTAGCCTGTTTTCTATGTTATATCAGATCAAATCAAAATATTTCAGAATAGTTGTCAATTAAGTAGAATAGATCAGATCAGAACATAATACCATATTATACCAGACCAAACTTAGATAATATATAGTAATAAAATACGAAATACACATCATTAACACACTTTTATGATATCAAATTATATTTTTTTTGGGTCATGATATCAAATTATATTAGATTTAGAAATTCCTATAATTCCAACAATTAAAAGTCTAACTGATTGGCTATCCCAAAAAACAACATCATTAACACACTTTAATTTTATGATATCAATTTATATTAGATTTTGAAATTCTAATAATTCTAACAATTAAAAATCTAATCGATCGACTATCCCCAAAAACAACATCATTAACAAACTTTTATGATATCAAATTATATTAGATTTAAAAATTTCAATAATTCCAACAATTAAAAATCAAACTAATCGGCTCTCTCCCAATCTCCTTTGTATACCAGAGGAATGACCGAGACCGTCTATTCTGTGACATGTACTGCAAGGGATACCACCGCTCCACCGCACCAGGTCGCCTGAGCCGTGCATGCTCCAATCTCCACCCTGTCTCCGTTCACCGTTCACAGAGGAGGGCGCTTCCCTTTCCACCGTTTGAAACTTGAAAGGACAACTATTGCCGCCCCATCGCCATTCAATTAACCTGGGATGTCTCTTCCAAAGGAGTTCTATCAATTATTATTTTCGGTCAAATACCTTAAAGTGCTAGAGTATTTGGATCCATGATAATTTCCTCCCATTTTTCTGTCATTTTATTTAATCTAATACTCCCTTTGTCATGGGAAATTAATATGAAGTTTGGTTAAAATCTTTGAACATGAAAAGCCTCCTAGGGAAGTAATGAAGTTTGGTTAAAATCCTTGAACATGAAAAGCCTCCTAGGTGAAGCTTTTTAAAAACACAAATGAAGCAACACCAGAAACATAAGAAATAAATATTTTTTTAGCAATAATTACAATTACAATATATTTTTTAATATAGCGATTAATAATGAAATAATCATAATTACAATTGGTAACAATGAAATTGGCCGATTCTGCTGAAATTGACGAAGTTCTGGCTGAATTGACCGAATTTGCTTAATAATGAAATTATCATATTTAAAATATATTATTAATAAAATAAAGAAAAATATATATGGAAAATAGTTAAAATGTTCATCTATAGTAACTTCAGTAAAAAAAGTAACTCAAAGCTCATTTATTTTGATTACTACCTCCGTCCCGGAATTATCTCCTTATTTGACTGCGCACAGGTTTTAAGATAGTGGGAAATGTGTGGTGAAGAGTTGTGCAAAGGAAAGAGAAATATGTAAGAATGGTTGTGAACCACAAATTCTTTGCCAAAAAAGGAAAGAGAGATAAATTTGGGACGGATTGAAAAGGAAGGAACGAAGATAATTCCGGGACGGAGGGAGTATTATACAATTCAGTGAGTGGAATAAAAAGTTACGTCACGTGTTTGCTGAAAAAATGAATTACTCCCTCCGTCCCATATTTAACTCCGGTTTTGACCGGACATGAGTTTTAAGATAGTGGGATTTGTGTGGTGGAGAGTTATGCAGAGGAGAGAGAAATATGTAAGAATGTTTGTGAACCACATATTCTTTACCAAAAAGGGAAAAAGGAGATAAATTTGGGACGGACCGAAAAGGAAAGAATGAAGATAATTCCGGGACGGAGGGAGTATAAAACTAATAAGCCGAATAACGAGGTCAACAAATGGGTTCTAAAATCTCATAATTGTATAACGCAATTTCATTCTGCAATAAGCGAACATTTTATTTATTGACCGAAAGTGTCAATAGAGAATGCTCGTGACAATTATTTATTCTGTTGTTTTGATTTGATAATATAATCCCTCATCCCAGTTTAAGGTTCTCACGTGTCATTTTTCGATGTTTCAGCTAAATATTCTCATTTCTATTTTAGGAAATATCTAACAGTTTTAAATGACAACTCAATCACCAAATATTAAAAATAATACATCTATAACATTACAATTATCATCAATGACATCATTATATTATATACTCATCAAAACTATTTTTTAAAATATACATGAATTAACGGAAAGATTCATTTTATCACGGTAAAATTCTTAGTGTAAATATAATAAATACTTTTTTTAATTCATATGTTACATGCTATGATTTTTTAGTACCAATTAATATATATTTTTAAATTTGTGTCTTGACATCCCATTTTGATAAACTATTGCAGTGGCGGACCCACTAAGGGTCCCACGGGGTCCCGGGACCCCATGGACCTCCAAAAAAATACCTATATATATATATGTATATATTTTATATAAAATTAAGGAATAAGTATTTATACAATCAAAACTAGCAAAGAACACAAATACGGAGCTAGAGCAATGGTAGGAGGCCCAATTCCAAAACTAGCAAAGAACACAAATATGTGCTGAGGTTGAATGATCGATTCTCCCAGGCGTTCATTTTTTTGAAAATAAAATTATGGCCACTTTTTGTACGTGCGTACCTATTGTTATCCTATTGCTCAATTTTTTCCATAACAAATACTACTACTACAAAGCCAATATGTATCCCTGAATTTCAACTTATCTGTTTTATAAACTAATTTGGTAATGAAACACGTAATTCTTGAATTCACACACTAAATTTGTAATAATTAAAATAAGCAAGTTAGAAACATTTTTTCGGCGAGATGACTGAAGTTACCGTAAGAACATCATCTTAGCCACTTTTTCATATGACTTTTTTCATATCATATAACATATAATTTAAATATTATTCTTTCCTAATATAGCAGATTCAGTCGCTTGAGCCATAATCGCCTAATTTGGCTTGACGTGGTTTGATCTAAGACTAAAATCGGTCCAATAACAAATTAAAGTCCTTAAAGTTAAACAAATAAATTGGTAATGTAGAACAATATTATTATATGCACATTTACTTAATACTCATATGGTAAATTATTAATATTAATTGATAACAATTATTTTTGGACTATTATTAATTTATTGAAACATGGTAAAACATATGAAGGAGCAAGGGATACCCAATTTGATAAAAAGTAATTATTAAGGCAATCAATAAATATAGCTAGAACTCATCTTCAAATGACATGTGGCTATGCATTATAATAGAATGACATTTGGCAAATATTTCCTTCAATGTGACTCTCAATTGTATAATATATAGATTACTCTATTCTTTTGCAATATTGCCTATGCGCAGAGAATTCCCTATTGGAAATGGAAAAGTTTTGCAATTCTTATACAGTAGCAAGCAACTGAAGAGCACTAAGAGTGGGTTACCAGCTGCCCCAATGACAGCTCATGTGGTCAATAACCCACATTACAGCCAAATGTTACAGGGAATGAAGGCTCCCAGTTGCAGCCCAAGTGAAGTGATCTACAGCCCTGATTTTCACCAGTCACTATACTGTCACCTTCTTTGCGGACTCATTTTTCGTGACGAAATCCATTTCATAACCTCCGTGTTCGCTCACGGCATTGTTCTTGCCTTTCGAACCCTCGAACAAGTGTGGGAAGAGCTGTGCACCGACATCCAGGAAGGCATTCTTTCGAGCCGTATCATGATCCCCTCCGTTCGGGATGCCATGACATCGAAGGTCCTCGTCGCGCCTAACCCTGAGTTGGCGGGCACGATCTATGAGAAGTGCAAGGCACTGATGGAGAATGGGTGGTATGGACTGATCCCAGAGCTGTTTCCCAATGCAAAGTACATTAGTTCAATCTTCACAGGGACCATGCAGCCTTATGTGAAGAAGTTGAGGCATTATGGAGGGGACATGTTGCCTTTGATGAGCTCATATTATGGGGCTTCTGAAGGGTGGGTTGGGTTTAATGTGAACCCTAAAGATCCACCAGAGGCTGCTACCTTTGCGGTAGCCCCAAATTTAGGGTACTTTGAATTTATTCCTTTGAAGGATGGTTTGGAGTTGGAACCTGTTGGTGTGACCCAAGTCAAAGTTGGGGAGGAGTATGAAATTGTTCTCACAAATGGCACAGGTACACCTTAAATGCTTTTACTAACTATTTAATTAAGAGTTTATGGTTTATGAAATTGATCGAATCCATTTTATACTATTAATTAATCTGATAGTCATTTGATATAATTATATTTCTGATTTTATAATTGGAATCTCGTAAGAATAACAATTTTATTCTCTTAAGAAGTAGAGAAAATTCTTCAAGTAGGATTAAAATATAGACAAAATGCATAAATATGATCTCCACTGTTTTCTTTCTAACTAATATGGGACCCCTCACTTCTAACTAATTGAGAGAGTTTTATACTTTTAATATGATCAGGGGTAATTTGAGTATGAACCCCGTTTTTAAAACTCTTTGTTTTTGTGCTCCAACCCCATATGAAAAGACAAAAATGTCTCTCGATCAGAAATATGTTGAACGCCAACAGAAATGTTAATGGGGAGGCCTGACGAGCACTTTGTCACGGTGCGTCAAAATAAATTCAATACTAAACACCTATACGTAGTATAGCGTAGTAGAGTTCGTATCCACAGGGAAAGGAATAATTCTCTTTTTTTGATACTTAGTAAATAAAAGGGGGGATTTGGATTGAGTGATTTGATTTAATTAAGAACTAAGATGAACAACCTATATGTGTTTAATTCAAAGATAAAAAGGACTTGGCATTGCTACTTTCCACTTGTTGATACATTTTAGTCGATCATTGTTATATCTATAACTTATTCCCTCTCGAATACTCAATCGGGGAGTATATCCACTTCATCGAGGGTAGTTATTAACAACGACCGTTCATTAATAACCCTTACTATTAATCAAATATAGAATAACGCCTTATACCGATTTAATAGTAGCATTTAATCTTTCTAACTCCTTGATGAAATCAATTGAGATTGATAACCTCAACACAAGCGGTTTCGGTTTAACCAACAAAATTAATCCCTCTTAAGTTTATTAACCACGACCGTGCATTAATAAACCGAAGTTACTTACTTGTGAAACCATCAACGATTAACCATCGGTTCGTTGATCGTTTCTAGTAATAATTAATATATGAAACAAAACTAGTTGATCCTTTAAGTAATGTTCAAAATATTAATATGAAATAAGAGAAGGAATTAATTAATATTCAAGGAAGAATATTATTAAAGAAGATGAATCCTACTATAATTAATATCAAGATGTTAACTAATTGTCATCTTAGCAACACTCCCCAACATTAATATAGAGGAAGAAAATACCATTCTAACTAATGTCGAGATGTTAACTAATTGTCATCTTAGCAACACTCCCCAACATTAATATAGAGATGGTATTAAGGAAAGAACTATTAATTAATATTCAAGGAAAGAAGTTAAGAAAATAACTCACAACTTTAATAATCAACAAGCTTCAAGAGCAACACCAAGAATGGAAGTTTAGCCCCTCATTTGGAGACTAAACATAGCTAGAAAAATATAAAGAAATGCTATTCTAAACTGAGCTAAAGAGATTGGAAGAAGGGATGATTTTTTTGTGAAGAAAAAGTGTGCTATTTATAGGTGTTTTTCAACACCTTTGGCCGGGTACCCGACCGGGTCAAGTACTCACCCGACCGGGTCCATGTCAAAATCAAATATCCTCCACGTTCTGGCGATCTTCAACATGTTAAAGTGTCCGGGTCAAGTTAGACCCGACCGGGTGAGGTAGGGGACCCGACCGGGTGAGTGCACAAATTGGATATTCTTCACGTTCGGGTGATCTTTGCACACCGGGTTGTCCCCGGTCACTTCTCACCCGACCGGGTGAGGTAGTGGGCCCGACCGGGCGATGCAATTTCTTTGCATTTTCGTTTTTCACTTCTTACCCGACCGGGTCAAGTATTATACCCGGTCGGATATTTGCTCCTGGGCAGCCAAATCTTCTTTTTCTTCACTTCAAAGTCTTCCTTTCCAAACCATAAATCCTAACTAAACTTTACAACTGACAAAAATAGACTAAAATACAATTACAACTGAAATCACATAAATATTTACAAACTAAATAAAACGTCAAACAATTAACATAAATCAAACATAAAAACATGTAATTATGCACTACTAATTAGTGTGCATCAAACACCCCCACACTTAAACCTTTACTCGTCTCGAGTAAATCAAATCAAATCCAAGAAGTCCTAAATGACAAGAATATCAATACAAAACATCCAAGAGTGTTTTTACCACAATACAAAGCATCCCTAATAATAATTAAAGTAAACTGGGGTCTTCAACTTCATCTTTATCTCCATTTCTCTTTTGAACTTATCACCTTCAGGATCCTGCAAAATAGACATTTCTCTCATTCTCTCGTTTTGCCTAGGTGCCCTTTCAGGTTTTCATCCCAGCTTCCCTTATTTTTTTTTATTTCTCACAACCTCACTCTTTATTTTATTGCTTTAATTTTTGCTTGAGTTGCCCTTTGTGGGTTTTCAACTCAACAAGCTCTTTTTTTTTCATTTTTTTTAAATAAAATAAAATAAAACAAGTAGGATTGTGAGCATACCAGAACAATCTCTGCACCCCCACACTTAGGATCTGACACTGTCCCTAGTGTCCGCCTAGACCTCCACCTTGGTGTGCGTTCTCATCCATGTGATCCCCGCCATAACCACCATCGTAGCCTCCACCACCGGAGCTCGATCCTCCAAAGAAACCCCACTGAGAGGGGTCATACCATGATGGTGCAGGAGGTGGAGTGGTCATAGAGGAAAAGGAGCCCTGGTGTGCTATATATGAGTATATCGGACCAAAGGTTCTACGCTGATCCTCCTCAGATCTCCGCCTGTCTTCCTCATACCTACGCCAGTCTGCTTGCCGCTGCTCCTCCATCCTCACAATGCTCTGGTTGAGCGTGACCATGTTATCGAGCATTTGTTGCTCGAAAGGTGTGTAGTGGAATGCTTGAGGTTGTGGTTGTTCGGGTATGATTGGAGTTTCTTCATCATCTTCATCTTGGATGGGTTCTTCATAATGATCCGGGATTGCCCCGGGAAGATAATAGTGATGACCATCCCCGATTTGGTGATTGATGATATCCAGGGGGACGTCGGCTGAGGGTATCTGGAGGTAGATGGAAGTGCGTGGGAGAATGCGCCAATTATATATGTGTGCCCCAATTGGTGTTGTGTGCGAGGGGACCAAGTCTAGCGTCTTTTGTAAAAGCCATTCAGTGCAAATAAGGTGTCTTGAGGTGATGGGGCCGGGGTCTATAAAACCATATAAAGTGGCTAGATGTGTGATGAGGCCCCCCATAGCAATTGGTCCTGTTGATGTTGCCACGTTGTTGAAATGAGTCCATAAGATGGTGGCAACATCAACTTGATTTGGGCCCGGCAAAACAGCTTGTGCTAGAACACACACATCCCAGATACGTGTGTGATGATTATTCGGTCTTCCGAGGAAACAATTTGAGCAAAATTTTAAGAATAGTCGGAAGACCGGATGTTACACACGATTCACACTCAATTTAGATAGATCAACCACATTCTTGCCGGTCATTCTTCTCCACAATTCATACCCCACAAGAGAATCATATGTACGTGCTTCATCAAACCATGGGAGACCAAAATGTTGAACAAATTCTCGTTTGGTTAATGAACGATCCTCATTTAGTAAACGAAAGGTGATTATGTCATTTGCATGATCATTCACATCTTTTGTATACGCAAATGAGCTAAAAAATTCATACACCAAATGAGGATATGTCACATATTGCATTTCAAACATTCTAGATATTCCAATTCTTGCAAATATGTCACGCATCACAGTATCAATCCATAGTAGTGCTAAAGTAGTTAAGCACATAAAACGGGATTGTTTTACCTCCCTTTTTGCTTGGTTGATGAAGTTGTTCCGTTGAGCCTCCGTAGCAAACTCCACGCTCTCATAGCCCGCTACCGGTGGTATAACTCGATTTCCCCTTGAGGAAGAGGCTTTTGACTTTCTTGGAGCCATTGAAGTTCAAAAAAAATTTTTTGGTTTTTTTTTTGTGATTTTCGGACTTGGGTAGGGGGGGGGGTTTGGAACTTTGGGATTTTGGTGGGTCTTGGGTATTTTGGGTTTGTGAGAGTGGAGAGGATGATTATTAGGAGAAGAAATTGGGATTTCTTGGGATTTTTTGTAGAAAAATCAGAACTTTGGGGGATTGGGGGTTAGGGTTTCGGATTTTTGCAAATGGGGAAGAAAATGGGATTTTATGGGTATGGGTGTGTTGAGAAGGTTGAGGAGATGAAGATTATGGTGTTATTTAGTGGATTTGGTGGAGAAATGGTGTAGAATCAAATGTTTTGGTGTGTAAAAATGGAGGGATTTGATGTTTTTTTCGTGGGGAGGAAGAAGAAGTGGGAGGGGAAGGGGGTGAGCCCGACCTGGTAATGTGCTAATTTCCCGTTCACCCGGTCGGGTGAAGTCTTCCGCCCGGTCGGGCTGTACGGTGTTTTGTTATCCAGTAGCTACTGGAATGAGTACCCGGTCGGGTGCTTTAGGGTACCCGGTCGGGTCTTTCTGATTTTTTTAAAAAATAAATTCGTACCCGCCCGAGTTTCAGAAATACCCGATTGGGTATGCATTCCAGTGTGTTCGGAGCCCAAAAAAATGCGCAGCCCGGTCGGGTTTTGGAAGCCCCCGGTCGGGCATATGTTTTTTTTTTGTTTTTGTTAGCAACCCGGTGGCCGTGTTGCCCGGGTGTTCCTTTTTTATTAATAAACCCGACCGGGCTGTTTGAGATACCCGGCCGGGTTTCAGCCCAGGCTCATTTTTTTTTTCATTTTTTTTTGGGAAAAAAAATTATAACACACGAACTGAAAAAATATGAAATTAAAAATAAAAACTTGGGTTGCCTCCCAAGAAGCGCTTGATTTAATGTCGCGGCACGACGTTATTTTTATTTTATTTTTTATTTTTATGTGGGATCGTGAACATCCCTTGTTTCATTTTTCCTTTTCGGCCTTCTCCAGTAAGGCCGGGATTCCTTTTCTGGTATCACTTCCATCCCAGGTGGGAT